AACATCAGGTGCAACTTCTCCATTGTCAACAACATCATTCACATCACCAACATCACCGTTTTCTTCGACAACAGCTATTTCAAACACTCCAACTATTTCTCCATCCATCATTACTTCAGAATCGACAACTTCAAGCACTGAATCTGTCTCAACAACAACAACAACGTCTCCATTGTCAACAACACCATTCACATCTCCGACTACAACTTTTTCTTCCACAACACCTATGTCAGACATCACAACTATTTCTCCATTCACCATTGCCTCAGAATTGACAACTTTGAGCACTGAATCTGTCTCAACAGCAGCAACAACGTCTCTATTGTCAATAACACCATTCACATCTCCGACTACAACGTTTTCTTCCACAACACCAACGTCAGATACTACAACTATTTCTCCATCCACCATGACCTCAGAATCGACAACTTTGAACACTCAATCTGTCTCAACAGTAGCAACAACGTCTGCATTGTCAACAACACCATTCACATCTTCGACGACAACGTTTTCTTCCACAACACCTATGTCAGACACTACAACTATTTCTCCATCCACCATGACCTCAGAATCGACAACTTTGAACACTGAATCTGTCTCAACAGCAGCAACAAGTTCTCCATTGTCAACAACTAAATTTACATCAGCAACTGCAACAACTTCCAGTCTAATAACAGTGGCAACATCAGGAGCGACATCTCCATTGTCAACAACATCATTCACATCACCAACATCACCGATTTCTTTCACAACAACAATTTCAGACACTACAACTATTTCCCCATCCACCATTATCTCAGAATCAACAACTTCGAGCACTGGATCTGTCTCAACTGCAGCAACAACGTCTCCATTGTCAACAACACCATTTACATCAGCGACTGCAACAACTTCCAGTCTAATAACAGTGGCAACATCAGGAGCGACATCTCCATTGTCGACAACATCAATAACATCACCAACAGCACCGTTTTATTCGACAACACCTACGGCCGACACTGCAACGATTTCCACATCCACCATTACCTCAGAAGCAACAACTTCAAGTACTAACACGATTTCAACAGCAGCAAGTTCTCCATTGTCAACAACACGTTTCACATCAGCGACTGCAATAACTTCCAATATAGAAACGATGTCAACATCAGGTGCAACTTCTCCATTGTCAACAACATCATTCACATCACCAACATCACCGTTTTCTTCGACAACAGCTATTTCAAACACTCCAACTATTTCTCCATCCATCATTACTTCAGAATCGACAACTTCAAGCACTGAATCTGTCTCAACAACAACAACAACGTCTCCATTGTCAACAACACCATTCACATCTCCGACTACAACTTTTTCTTCCACAACACCTATGTCAGACATCACAACTATTTCTCCATTCACCATTGCCTCAGAATTGACAACTTTGAGCACTGAATCTGTCTCAACAGCAGCAACAACGTCTCTATTGTCAATAACACCATTCACATCTCCGACTACAACGTTTTCTTCCACAACACCAACGTCAGATACTACAACTATTTCTCCATCCACCATGACCTCAGAATCGACAACTTTGAACACTCAATCTGTCTCAACAGTAGCAACAACGTCTGCATTGTCAACAACACCATTCACATCTTCGACGACAACGTTTTCTTCCACAACACCTATGTCAGACACTACAACTATTTCTCCATCCACCATGACCTCAGAATCGACAACTTTGAACACTGAATCTGTCTCAACAGCAGCAACAAGTTCTCCATTGTCAACAACTAAATTTACATCAGCAACTGCAACAACTTCCAGTCTAATAACAGTGGCAACATCAGGAGCGACATCTCCATTGTCAACAACATCATTCACATCACCAACATCACCGATTTCTTTCACAACAACAATTTCAGACACTACAACTATTTCCCCATCCACCATTATCTCAGAATCAACAACTTCGAGCACTGGATCTGTCTCAACTGCAGCAACAACGTCTCCATTGTCAACAACACCATTTACATCAGCGACTGCAACAACTTCCAGTATACTAACGGTTGCAACATCAGGAGCGACATCTCCATTGTCGACAACATCAATAACATCACCAACAGCACCGTTTTATTCGACAACACCTACGGCCGACACTGCAACGATTTCCACATCCACCATTACCTCAGAAGCAACAACTTCAAGTACTAACACGATTTCAACAGCAGCAAGTTCTCCATTGTCAACAACACGTTTCACATCAGCGACTGCAATAACTTCCAATATAGAAACGATGTCAACATCAGGTGCAATTTCTCCATTGTCAACAACATCATTCACATCACCAACATCACCGTTTTCTTCGACAACAGCTATTTCAAACACTCCAACTATTTCTCCATCCATCATTACTTCAGAATCGACAACTTCAAGCACTGAATCTGTCTCAACAGCAGCAGCAACATCTCCATTGTCGACAACATCAATAACATCAACAACAGCACCGTTTTATTCGAATACACCTACTTCAGATACTACAACTATTTCTCCATCCACCATGACCTCAGAATCGACAACTTTGAACACTGAATCTGTCTCAACAGTAGCAACAACGTCTGCATTGTCAACAACACCATTCACATCTTCGACGACAACGTTTTCTTCCACAACACCTATGTCAGACATGAAAACTATTTCTCCTTCCACCATGACCTCAGAATCGACAACTTTGGACACTGAATCTGTCTCAACAGCAGCAACAAGTTCTCCATTGTCAACAACACAATTTACATCAGCAACTGCAACAACTTCCAGTCTAATAACAGTGGCAACATCAGGAGTGACATCTCCATTGTCGACAACATCAATAACATCACCAACAGCACCGTTTTCTTCGACAACACCTACGGTAGACACTGCAATGATTTCCACAACTACCATTACCTCAGAAGCAACAACTTCAAGTACTGAAACGATTTCAACAGCCACAACATCTCCATTGTCAACAACACCTTTCACATCAGCGACTGCAAGAACTTCCAATATAGAAACGATGTCAACATCAGGTGCAACTTTTCCATTGTCAACAACATCATTCACATCACCAACATCACCGATTTCTTCGACAACGGCTATTTCAGACATTACAACTATTTTTTCATCCACCATTACCTCAGAATCGACAACTTCAAGCACTGAATCTGTCTCAACAGCAGCATCAACATCTCCATTGTCAACAACACCATTCACATCTCCGACTACAACTTATTCTTCCACAACACCTATGTCAGACACTACACCTATTTCCCCATCCACCATTACCTCAGAATCGACAACTTCAAGCACTGAAACTGTTTCAACAGCAACAGCAAGTTATCCATTGTCAACAACACGTTTCACATCAGCGACTGCAAGAACTTCCAATATAGAAACGATGTCAACATCAGGTGCAACTTCTCCATTGTCAACAACATCATTCACATCACCAACATCACCGATTTCTTCGACAACAGCTATTTCAGACATTACAGCTATTTTTTCATCCACCATTACCTCAAAATCGACAACTTCAAGCACTGAATCTGTCTCAACAGCAGCAGCAACATCTCCATTGTCAACAACACCATTCACATCTCCGACTACAACGTTTTATTCCACAACACCAACGTCAGATACTACAACTATTTCACCATCCACCATGAACTCAGAATCGACAACTTTGAGCAGTGAATCTGTCTCGACAGCAGCAACTACGTCTGCATTTGCAACAACACCATTCACATCTCCGACTATAACTTTTTCTTCCACAACACCTATGTCAGACATTACAACTATTTCTCGATTCACCATTGCCTCAGAATCGACAACTTCAAGCACTGAATCTGTATCAACAGCAGCAGCAACTTCCCCATTGTCAACAACACCATTTACATCAGCGACTGCAACAACTTCCAGTATACTAACGGCTGCAACATCAGGAGCGACATCTCCATTGTCAACAGCATCATCCACATCACCAACATCACCGTTGTCTTCGACAACACCTACGGCAGACACTGCAACGGTTTCCACATCCACCGTTACCTCAGAAGCAACAACTTCAAGTACTGAAACAGTTTCAACAGCCGCAACATCTCCATTGTCAACAACACCTTTCACATCAACGACTGCAAGAACTTCAAATATAGAAACGATTTCAACATCAGGTGCATATTCTCCATTGTCAACAACATCATTGACATCACCAACATCACCGTTTTCTTCGACAACACCTACAGCAGACACTGCAACTATTTCTCCATCCACCATTACCTCAGAATCGACAACTTCGAGCACTGAATCTGTCTCAACAGCAGCAACAACGTCTCCATCGTCAACAACACCATTCATGTCTCCTACTACAACGTTTTCTTCCACAACATCTATGTCGGACACTGCAACTATTTCTCCATCCACCAATACCTCAGAATCGACAACTTCAAGCACTGAAACTGTCTCAACAGCAGCAGCAAGTTTTCCATTGTCAACAACACCATTTACATCAGCGACTACAACAACTTCCAGTATACTAACAATGGCAACATCAGGAGCGACATCTCCATTGTCGACAACATCAATAACATCACCAACAGCACCGTTTTCTTCGACAACACCTACGGCAGACACTGCAACGATTTCCACATCCACCATTACCTCAGAAGCAACAACTTCAAGTATTGAAACGATTTCAACAGCCGCAACATCTCCATTGTCAACAACACCTTTCACATCGGCGGCTGCAAGAACTTCCAATATAGAAACGATGTCAACATCAGGTGCAACTTCTCCATTGTCAACAACATCATTCACATCACCAACATCACCGTTTTCTTCGACAAGAGCTATTTCAGACGCTATAACTATTTCTCCATCCACCATTACCTCAGAATCGACAACTTCAAGCACTGAATCTGTCTCAACAGCAGCAACAACGTCTCCATTGTCAACAACACCATTCACATCTCCAACTACAACGTTTTCTTCCACAACACCTATGTCAGACACCACAACTACGTCTCCATCCACCATTACCTCAGAATCGACAACTTCACGTACTGAAACGATTTCAACAGCTGCAACATCTCCATTGTCAACAACACCTTTCACATCGGCGACTGCAAGAACTTCCAATATAGAAACGATGTCAACATCAGGTGCAACTTCTCCATTGTCAACAACATCATTCACATCGCCAACAGAATCGTATTCTTCGACAACACCTACGTCAGACACTACAACTATTTTCACATCCACCATTACCTCAGAATCGTTAACTTCAAGCACTGAATCTGGTTCAACAGCAGCAGCAACTCCTCCACTATCAACAACACCATTTACATCAGCGACTGCAACAACTTCCAGTATAGTAATGGTGTCAACATCAGGAACAACATCTCCATTGTCAACAACGTCATTCACATCATCAACAGCACCGTTTTCTTCGACAACACCTATGTCAGACACAACTATTTCCCAATCCACCATAACCTCAGAATCAACTTCCAACATTGAATCTATCTCAACAGTAGCAGCAACTTCTGCATTGTCAACAAGACCATTCACATCTCCTACTACAACGTTTTCTTCCACAACACCTACATCAAACACTATAACTATTTCTTCGTCCACCATTTCCTCAGAATCAACAACTTCAAATACTGAATCTGGCTCAACACCAGCAGCAACATCTCCATTGTCAACAACACAATTTACATCAGCGAATGCAACAACTTCCAGTAGAGTAACGGTGTCAACATCAGTAGCAACATCTCCTTTATCGACAACATTCACATCGCCAACAGAACCGTTCTCTTCGACAACACCTACGTCAGACACTACAACTATTTTCACATCCACCATTACCTCAGAATCGACAACTTCGAGCACTGAATATTTCTCAACAGCAGCAACAACGTCTCCATTGTCAACAACACCAATCACATCTCCGACTACGAAGATTTCTTCCACAACAACTACTCCAGGTTACTGCACAATTTTTTCATATTCCATATTCCACGGAATAATTATATCACTTTATATAGCGACAGTTGCACTCGAATTTGTACGGAATGGGCTTCGCAAAAGCTCTCTCAGCGTTACATTCTTAAGCCAAATTCACGGAGTGAGAATTACATCATTCCACACAACGATGCAGAGTTTACACATAGAAGCATAAACGTCATGCCATAATTGCTTCCACCATTACCCCAACCTAACCGAGCCCACTTTGGATCATTCTGCAATTTTGGCATGCGTTAGTTGCAGATATAGGTGCATTTCTGTAAAGTATCCATCATACATGAATTTCAAATGGTGGAATGACAGAAAATTTTCTCATGAAATGGCCCTCACTCCACCAAAAGTAGCAGAATGAATAATAGCCATAATAGGTACATTACTCGGGCCCTATAGCTTGTTTCCAGTACATCGTACAAAAGTAGAAGGGTACAACAATGGGAATGTCAAATAAAAGTAATGCTAGGAAGCCTAATGTGAATACTGTCTGGTACAAACAAATTTTACATTTCATTTTGCTTCATGAAGTTAACCTTATAGGTAAAATATGATTTATAGACTTGTATGATGTAAATGTTTAATTCTGTATGTATTCTTGTTTCATTTTTACTGCAGCTAATACACCCTGTTCTCTGCCTTGCACCAATGGAATGTGCTTCATTGATCCCAGCACAAAAAACTCCACCTGCCAATGCAATACAGGATACGAACTACATGAAGGTCAACCCAACTGCTTCGGTAAATATTGCACGAGGAAATGCTATTACGTGACCTTTTGTAAACGTTTGGTAAAGCCTAGTGAAGCCATTGAAACACTGTTTTATATGAGGTGTGCCACAGTGGTGATATGTTATCTCCCTTGCCTGGTTTAGAGGAGGTCGTGGGTTCGATCCCAACCCTGAGGCCTGTATATATGGAGTTTCCATATTCTCCCTGTGGTCGCATGGATTTTTCACGGGGTCCTCCGGTTTTTTCCTCTGTATTTAGAAACATGCGTTTCGAGTATTTGGCTGCTCTAAATGTACACATGATTTGTCGCCAGGTCGCTTCTGAAGAAGAGCTAAATAGCTCAGTGGGCCTTACCTGGTAATTTTTTTTAGTTTAATATCAACATATCTGTACACATGGCTGTACGTGATAAAGAGCCTGCAATCTTATACTGGTGTGTTTAGCACAGATAGTTTAAGTTTAGTTCACCAGTTAAGAATTCACCAGAATGTAAGGGGGACGTGGATAATGTTTTTAAAAAGAGAATTCGAATGAAAAAATATCGTGATTTTTTTTCGGAAAATTAACAAGACTGTAAAAATGCCAGCTCTATATTGAACATGATATAAAATAATCAGAAAAGTTACACACAAACATAAAATATACAGCGAAAATCCAAATAATCTGTAAATCCTTGTAATCCGTGGGGCAATCCAAACATCCCCATTTTCGTTCATCCTCCATAAAACGACTGTAAACCTAAACATGTTAAATTCCAGAACCACACATTTCAAGGCAATTTTTTTTATCGCGTCGAATGTATTCCCGATTCAATCTCCTGGCACAGCAGTCTAAACGTTAGGACAAGTTTATGAAGTATCCCCACCCCTGTCCATCCAGCAGTATAAATGGATAAACCACAGTTAGTCGATCAGCAGGTCACATGTGGTGGAGTTAAAGTGTGGGTACTCCCATAACTTCTAAAATGTCGAGCCGGCATGGAAGAGTAGGCCAAATATACTTGAGAGTGTTTTCTAGTGCTTCCTCTCGTGTATGCCCTTTCACCAGCAGCAGCATGAGCAATACATTTCAGGGCTGACCAGCATAGCAGACAGGAGATGCCAATCCATTTACAATGATACTTTGTCGCGGTTAACTGTATTCCGACCTGAATTTGTCTTTGTGGCACACACATGTCTTCGCATCATACAAAGTTAATTTGTTTTTGCAATGTCCTCACGAATTGAAAAGGACCCCGAATTGGTAGTTAAATATATACAGCAAAGTATTGGTTTCACCTCCTACTCAAATAAGTGCAAGGTGGTATCCGTCTTGTATATATGTACAGCGTATGTTGAACTTCTTTCGCACCATACATAGTCAACCATGCTGATTGGAGGTGGGGGTCTGCAGGTGTGGGGTCTTCATATTACAAAACAAATCAGCAGACTATCTGCTGGATCTCCTCACTGTTTCGAATAACAAATGTGACCTAAGGTCTTCGCTCATTTACCAGCTTCACATTCCTTATTGCTGTACAAATACTGGAGGAAGGGCCTTTTCTATTGATGCCCCCAGGGTCTGGAATGCTATCGCCAATAAACTGCAACTTGGATCACTACCTGTGAGATCTTCACTCAAAACTGCTCTAGAGGAGTTGTACACCCCTAGCTGCCACTGCTATTCAATATGGCCTGAAATCAAATGTATCGTTCTGGATGACCGCTGCAAAGTATGTGCTGATCTTTAAAGGTGTATTGAAAATTGTTGATACTGCTACTGATACTCCTGCTGTTATGGAGTGACTCATGCAGCAAGCTATGGCTGCAAAGTTGGTCGTACATGTTATGTATATCGTTTATTGTTAAATTTGAATCACAGTTCCTATGATCACTGTTACATTGTTTTTATAGCTTTATTTTGGTGATTTTGAAAACGTTTTGGTTTAGCCATGTTTGTTTGTTGTAGTACAGAGTTAGCCTGATAACTTTAATCTAAATTATCTTATGGTTGTTTTTGTTTGACTTGCATCCCACTGGGATTTTTGCACACAGCGTTGAAATACGCTGTTTTTTCTGGAAGACGTTGCAATTTTTTCCTGGATTTTTATGCTGCGTGTAGTCACTTTGAGATGTTTCTTGTTCATGTTTTTGTTTGCTGCGGTTGAACCCGAGTTAAGAGCCACATGGCTCACATGAAAACTGAAAACATTCCATGATTGGCGGAAAGCAGGACAACCACTGTTATGAAATGCCAGGAGTGCAAGAGATCATTAAGTTTAACATCTCTTACAAAACAGAGAGCAATGTTCAATGCCATACATGTTGACTCTTGTTGTGGTTGTTGAACATAAATGAGCTTTTGCCCAACCATGTAGGGCTATAGTATTTAAGTAACCTCGAATGTTTGACAGCTGTCTGGATGAATACGTATTAACAAAACAGAAAGATAACTGTTTAAACCGATGTCATAACACGTTGCTTTACATGTCTAATTGTATCCAATACCCTAGCAAACAAGAAAAAGTTTCAAAAATGTCCAACTTCAATGATTTTGCAAGTCAGATAGCTTGTAATATGTTTTACTAAGTTAACCCACTTTGCTTATGTTGTCTTTACTATTTTGCTATTGTTTCTTTGCTTTATAATACATTTTTAAAATCACTACCTCAGTTGACCTGAGAAAGTGATATTCAAATGTGTATAAAACTCGTGTGCCATTATTACTTTGATTTTATATGTAAATGCTCCCTCATTGTTTTTCACTTATTCTGTAGACATCAATGAATGTGAGACACTGCCTCAACGGTGTGAACAAGACTGTGTCAACACTGTTGGAAGCTATGTTTGTTCTTGCTTCCCCGGGTTTGAAGTGAACTCCACTAACATTCACGGATGTGTAGGTATGTGAGTGCGCTACTGTAAACTGCATTACGTGTTGGATAAAGCAGGTTTCACAGCTCTTATGGAATGTATTCAATGAATGCATTTTTACGGTCAATTCCATTAGCTCACTTATTTTCATGTCAATATTTACAAAACCGCCCAATACTATACAAACATTTTTGAAAGGCAATTGATTCTTCAATTCTCAGCTGTTGCTATTTGACCAAATAAAGCTGCCTCGTAGGCAAACACCTACACTTCGTCTGCGTTATTGAGCTGTTCATTTTGAACATTTACCCTTATATGTGAATTACATTTCTCGTAAATAAATGTACAAAAATCATAATAAATCAACAATATTTACAAATATTATTGCACTGGACTGAATAATTAAATAAACCTACAAATGCGGCATGCACATTTTATATTCTGGAAAATACATTCACGTAATGTAGCACATAATATGTCAAACCTTGAGACACAAAGCCATCTTTCACAAATCACAGAGCCCAATTGTGCTCGACAATTAATATAGTCCACTGAACATGATTCATATATAACCATTCACGTCTGTAACAACACGACCAAACACAACAGCCAAATGATTCGGGTTTCATTATTTGAATTGCAATTTCGTTCCAAAAAAAATGTGCAGCTATTGTGCATTAGAACATGCAGCCCCCTCCCTGCTCCACCCACCCCTTCTGTGCTCACACTAAATTAGTGGAAGGAATGCAAGACAATTCTTACTTAATGTTGTTATTGACGAGTGTGTTTAGTGGTTTTTGTTAATTGTACGTGTATCCCACTGCTAATGCAGTATCATAAAATATATTTTTTCAGAGTAGTGTTCCAATGTTTTAAAAAATAATGATTATTCGTTATTCCATACCATGCAATTATTGTGCAGTATATTATTGAAAATAATACTGTATATCTTGATACATTTTCCTCGTGAATCGAGTTCTTTTAAACATGCCTCAATATAACCATATCATAAAATGCAGTATTTATCATTTCTCTATGTTTTGTACAGATATCAATGAATGTCTAAGCAAACCTTGTAAAAACAATGGGACGTGCCAGAACCTGGATAATGCCTATTCCTGTCAGTGTGCTCGTGGATGGACGGGCACCAACTGTGACCAAGGTGGGTGTGAATTGTGAAAAGATCCCACCTCAGTGGAGCAGCACTGGATATTTAAACAGAGAGTGTATATTGTTAGCCAAGCAGTTTTATCAACCATTTTATAGCACATACAAGGTCAGTGCACTGGGCTGACTCTATAGAGGTCCTTGAGTTTGGAACAGGGCAGCCGCCTGTGAATAAATCTGGTTCTCAAGTGTGGTGAGTTGATGGTCGCAGTCGTCACGTACAATATTGGTTCTGCAATAACTGTTGCTATATTCAGGTTCTGAGAGTTAAAAGAACCTCATCCGTTTGTCACGTGAACCTTATGGCGGTACCCCGGCTCTCGCATAATGTCCATGATGCAGTCATTTTTAGTCTGTTGATGGTCGGCGATCATCTCGACTCATCTCGACGAGCTGTACATGATGCACTATGGTGCATGCGAGCGTTCAGGGTTTCGGCGCAATCGTCCTAGCTGCGTTTCGACATCGCGGAGTAGCACTGTTGAATTAAAGAAAATCTCGGATAACCAACAAATAACAGAACATTTACTGAGAATAGGTTTTCCCATTTTTTTCTGGCAAGAAAACAGGTGTTAAGATCACCATTGGAACCTCCTTTGCCAGTAACAAAATATGATAATTGTTTTTTTACCCTTTTATCTGGCAACAAAACTAACACCTTTTTTTACAAGGAGTCATGTTTGCATTGACCACAATACCCCGAGCTCTCATACTCTGATGGTGCATTGTCTTTGAGTTGTGCGCCTTTTGGCGTCATCTGGTCCAAACACCATGTGAGACTAGGCTCTAAGGAAAGCTGTCTCGGGTGTGGACCAATCAATTTCAAGGACAGTGCATATATTATCAGAGTTGTGTTTTTGTTTGCATTCCGATTGCAGGTATTGTGGTCAATGCAAACATGACTCCTTGTAAAAAAGGTGTCAGTTTTGTTGCCAGATAAAAGGGTAAAAAAACAATTATCATATTTTGCTACTGGCAAAGGAGGTTCCAATGGTGTAAATGCTTACCCAGAGCTCTAATACTCTGATGGTGCAAGATGTTAAAACACCAAACTGAAACCTTTTACAAGAAATCATGTTTGCATTAACCACAATATTTGTGGTCAGAATCCAAACAAAAAAACATCTGATAATATATGCATTGTCTTTGAAACAGATTGGTCATTTACATTTACTGCCATGACCCTGCTTAAATGCGAAAAAGTTTATATGATAGGATATCATACCCCAATCACTTATGGGAAAAGTCGCAGAATCACAAATGATAGCGTTTTCGCTCTCCTACAGCTGCGGTAGAATATAAGAGTCGCGGATAAATTGGACCGGCGGATAATAGGCGCTTTCTAATATACACACAATGTATGTAATTCCATTCCATTTGAGAGGTATATTTCATTCACATTTGCTCATTTACTTTTGTCATTTAAAAAAATGTGGAACATTGACATATACAGTATTTGAAAGTAACACACGGGGCTCTATATAATGTCTAATTTTCAACTTAAATTACATCCTGTAAACGTTATGAAACGATATTTGATCTACTGAAACTTTTCAAACGAGGACCAATATGGTAAGCAACCCCGATGTATATATTACACCGTTCATTAGAGGAAGTGAAAACTAAAAAATACCAGTTTTTTTAACAATGCAATAGAGTGTAGCTAATCGCCTTTTTAACCATGACAAAAAGAAATCAGTCATAAAATAGTAGCTCTTTTATTACAATGTATGCAACTGTGATGACAGTTGCATATATTTACGACATTTGGTTATGGTGTGTACCAAGGCAACGTATAACTGAATACGATCACATAAAGTCATAAATTGTACGACCAATGGCGTGTTCAAGCAGAAACCAGTTCTTCCACACATAAAGCGAATGAGCAACAGGCGCTTGGGTGGAGTCGCCCAACCTTTGTGCTGCCATTACAACTGGCTTCCTACACTAGACGATTATAAAATCACTAGGCGATTATAAAATCACTACTGTTGCCCATTGTTCTAATTCAAAGTGGCGTTAACGACAAACAGCGTACACGTTTTTTTATATGGACTCTTGAGTCATTGCTGATTTTATATGATGATGGCTGGTTCATGTAACAAACGTATCTGTGTATTATAAAAATACAAAACGTTTCAAGGAATGAAGCCATCCGAAAGAATTGCGCAAACATTGTTGACACGTTAGTATTCACTGATAATCTTGCAGTGAGTTTGATCAAACTCACTACCTGTCCTTTATTGCAACAGTTTTTAGTTTCGGGTAGTGTGACTTTTGCTATTTGAACTCAGATGGGGGATATGATAACGTTTGGGTTCAATCCCCACCCTGACGCTTGCATATTTGGAGTTTGCATGTTCTCCCCGTGGTCGCGTAGATTCTTCTCCGGGTCCTCTTGGTTTTTTTTTCCACCACATTTGGAATCAACATGCATTTAGAATATTTGGCTGCTATACATTTCCACACAATCAACTTTGAGCTATCATTTGTAGCCAGGTTGCTTATATGAAAAATGCATATATAGCTCAGTGAGCTTTACCTGGTAAACTAAAAAGTTTAGGCTTCGTTTTAGTATTGATTAAATGCCCTTCTTCCATAAAAGATTAAGTGTGCTATGGAAGAATGGTCATTGCCTAAAATGTCAACGATTATATATTTTATAATTTTAAGGCAATATTGTTGACGAGTTTTTGTTTGTTTAATGTGGATGTGCACCACTGCCAAATGGAGCATCACCAAGTAACATGTAGGATTAAAAGCACAGTTATTTATTCAATTCACGGTACTTATTAATGAGTTTTTGCAATGACCTTTAAAAAATACATAACTCAATAAATAGTCATTAGTGTCATTATGGAGAATATAAATAACAAATTAGATAAGCAAGACAATATGTATAAGCAAGACAATATGTATATATACAAAACCTAAAGGCTTTCTGAGATTGAATGATTTCAGCAGCATTATTTTTATCTAGCGAATGTTTTTACACAAAGCACCAGATACCCAAGTTAAATTAATAATACAATTTCTATATATCGATGTCAATGTTACATGAGTGAACGTCAGCCCACGTAGCCACAGTATTGATTCAGCACCAGTAACACTGTGGACCAGTCCCAACAGAGAGATCCCACTGGGAGAGCCAGCCTTGCCTGAACTGACACTGGCTAACTTTCTAACATGCTGTAAGTAAGGACCCTTCTTTAGGTTATGTCCGAGTTCAAATTACGCAAAATTTACAAAATACAAACTCAAAAATAAGAATGATCATCGTTATATATAATAACAAAATAGATAAGCATACAATATATCTGAGAGACACTTTAAAGAATAATAAACAAGGGTTGTGGTGAACCCAGTTTTAAGCAAATGCTTTGAGGCCATTAGCATGTGAATGCCACCGCGATTCCTACTGGTCGTATAAACTATGCATCTTTTCTGGTTGCTTAAACATCACTCTTTGTGCAATCACTCTCAGTTATTCTATTTGTCGTTAGTTATCATTGAAAATATAAGCTATCCGAAGACACTGCGTACATTTACTCATTGGTAAATATGACAACAAATACCATGAAGAGATACAGTTGCCTCTTTTGAATTTAACAAATGTGAACAATGACCATGCAACAAAAGTGTTTTACTTCAAAGTCGTATGCAGTTGTCAAATAGCACAACCTACTAAACAAGTAACATAATTCAGAGGAGATCAAGATGTCATCATGACCAAAGCCATTTATGCCCTGCACCTTGCCAATGCGTTGTACCTTCTACCAGATCCCACATCTGCTGCATATTAAACATGTGCTCCCGAACATCCGAGGAGACCCATATGAAATCTGTACTGTATACGTATTGTCCATACTAATTATTTAAAGCCAAAGTATTATTGATGAATTTGCGTTTTGTGCTCATGCACCGCTGCCAACACAATGCCATGAAATACTGACATCCAGGTGTAAACACTATGGAGAGGTGGCAGTGCTATTTAAATCCAATGTTGTGTTCACAGCTAATTTACACTCATTTTTACCCTTTTGTCACAGATATAAATGAATGCCTCACAAGCCCATGCAAGCACGGGAGCAGCTGTAATAACAACCCGGGGTCATTCACCTGTGAATGTTTAACAGGCTGGACTGGACTCCTCTGCTCAGAAAGTATGTTGTCGCTCGGAATGTGTTGGTCGGTATATCATGATAACAAAATTTCAAGTTGATGAAATTTGCTCTTTAAGGTATTCCATAAACCTGGTGTGCAAAAACCATATCTGAAAAGGCCAAATGTTGTGATTATCAGTTTCTGATTCATATTCTTTGGTTCTTTCGGTAAAGTTTTATTTCCACTGCTGTGGAATTGAACAAATGCTTAAAATGAAGTTGCTCCCAATATACTATATAAAAAATTGTGTACATCAAATTTTAGATCTAAATACAGTTGTTCTATAACACTAAATGTGTATACTTATATGTTTATCATACACGTATGTACTAAGTGAATTGGTATAATGCACAGAAATGTACTACACATGTATATGTATGATTTCGTTTCCATACTACTGTAATTCAAAATGTAACATTATGCTTTCGCCCAAGCACCGTGCATATTATATTTCAGTAACAGAAGTCTGCAACAAATCTAATTTATTGTAATTTGCAGAGTGAACTGTTTGTTTGATGCCTGGATTAACTTAAAATAATATTGCGTGTTTTTTAGATGTTAATGACTGCATGTCAAATCCTTGCATGCACGGCCAGTGTGTGGATGGGCTCAATCAATTCTTCTGTGAATGTGCCAAGGGATGGACAGGAAACTTATGTGACAAAAGTAAGTTCCTTAAATTCCTACATACTCTTAAGCCGGCACATTCTCCTTTATCTTACCAATGAGGCTGTGGTGTATGAATTGTTTAAGCTGTGGGAAAACATAACTATATTTATGGATTGAAAATCTGCATCAAGCAGAACACGTTTTAAGACAGGCAATCAGGAGGGGGAAACCGTTATTATATTATAACACTGTGATTAATGGTGATTTACATCTCTTCATACATTCTCTGCTGGATGAAGGCCCACATCACTGTTGTTTTGACCATACTTCACCACACTGGGCAGTGCAGGTTTGTAAATAGGGGAAGCCAGGGCAGGTTCAGATATAATTTCCACTCATGTAGCCATGACAGGGAACTTTACTTGGGTTGCCAGGTTCTTTGTGAATGCGCAAATACAGTGCCACCGCCCCTCACTTTGATGTCACACCTGTGTATAATGCACACACTTTAGTATTAGCCAAGCATATTTGATTTAAAGTCATAGCTGCGCCTATTTTGTAATCCAAGCAAACTGTCGAGAGCCAAGTGAGATCACACTGTGTTGTATATTGTACAGTATTTGCAAATTACACATTTACTTTGTCTGCTACCTTACAACTTTAAAATGTGTGGGTTTTTTCTGCCGTCTGTACTTGTACCCTTTTTACAACCGTCCAACGTGTTGTGTAAAGGTAGAGCAAACATGGCAAGATGGATCAATCAATTCAGCAATGATGGACTCTGTAGTAATACACTTATATACCCTAGTATGCCCTATACTGCTGCACTAAATCAGTGTTGCGTAATGTCGTTATCTTGCTTGGAAGTGTGTAGATATACAAACATTCCACCATGCTATAATCCACATCCATGGTATTGCCAAATGATTACGAATGATTAAGAGTGACTCCCATGTGAAATATTTGTCAAGCAATCCCTCTTAACATTAATTTTGACAGCTTCAATAGCTTGGAAATTGTTATATACTGTGCTTTCATGGCATATAGAGGGGAATTTAAATGGACCACAATTTCACACAACTATAACTTCTTCATGATGAAAGCTACCTTGACAACTAATGTACTATTAAATAGGGCACACTGTAGCATATTGCATAACGTATGTTAATCGCATGCAAATCTCATTAAGAAATTAGGGGAAATGTAAACGTTCACATAAATAATTGTTTACGCTTAATTATTCTACTTCACTCATGATTTACACTGCTAATAAACAGTTCAGTGTTACATTATTTGAAACTCCAGGCACTAAATATACACATCTACAGAAGCGTGATACATGTATACTTGTCGATCTTGTGTGTTGGCATATGCTATCGGCCTATTTATGAACTATAAATGCTGAAAATCTATATTTTAGTTTTTTACTATTTCACAAGATGATGTTTAAAAAGTATTGGTCTCACATGTAACCCTTCATCTGCAACAATGTATTGTTTTGATGCAGACGTTGACGACTGCAAAGACATGCCGCTGTGCCTAAATGACGGAACTTGCAACGATCTTGTCAATGGAGTCAACTGCACTTGTGCCCCAGGGTTCATGGGAGAATTCTGCGAATATAGTAAGCGCTCACGTGGTCAAGTGTGAGATGATCGCACGTTGTTTTCTCCCCAACGTTATGCACTTTCCAGTTTGAAAATGGGCAGCACAGCGTCGAAGTGAGGTGATGCAGGACTATTCTCAATGTCAAAAGTCAATGCAATACATTTGCCAACGTATCTGAATTAGAAGAACAAACTATATATGGGGAATAATAGCTACTATACTTTTGAGGCATAAACAATTATAAAATAACACTTACTAAGAACAAAAATATTGTTACATAGTGTTATACATGTTCACGGCTGTGTTATTGACGAATGTGTTTAGTTGTTTTTGTTCATTGTACTTGCGCACCACTGCTTCCAATGCAGCATTACCAAATCATTCTCAATGTCTTATCGTTTTGCTGCTTTAATTAGCCCACTAGACACTGGGCAGCAGTTGCAGATACAAACCAAGGCTGTGTATTGTGGGCTGCCTGACACCAAAGGGTGCCATGGTGGTGTGATGTTATTTGCCTTGCCTGGTATGGAGGTCAGAGGTTCTATCCTGGCACCACTATTTTTGTAATTTGCAAGTTCTCCCAGTGGTGGTGTGGATTTTTTTCTCCAGGTCCTCTGGGTTTTCCATCCACATTCAGAAACATGTGTTTAGATTATTCAGATTATTTTGCTGCTATAAATTTCCACACGATAAGCCACTTCGTTGAGCTATTATTTATGGCCAGGTGGCTTCTGAAAAAGAAGCTAATAGCTCAATGGGCTTTACGTGGTAAGATAAACAACAGTTTAGTTTTATTTGTATTTTTTAAGTGATTTGTTTACTATTTCTATACTTTTCACTTCTATTATGTTTTTATATTGTTTATTGTTGTAACGTTCTGACCTGCCCCTACTGGGCATCTGTGAAAAAGAGCTTTATATCTCATCAGATACCTCCAGTTTAAATATTCTGACTCTAATTTAATTATTCGATCATGAAAAAAAAGCAATCCTCTATCATCCAAGCGTGACCTTAAGGCACTGTGCTATCGCGATAACGACCAGTAATTGTGGTACTACTTGCCTTAGATTCACACCTGGTCCCAGTTGGGTAAGTGCGAGACTGCCGTCTATTCATCAGTATTGTTTAACATGGATGTCAATTTTTTAAATATGGGAAAAAAATAGTGATGAGTTTCATATATTTGGTCGATGCTAAGTTTTTTTTTTAAATCAACCAGATCGTCGAATATTTGAATTATGTATTGTTTTCCTTTTTCCCCTCAAAGATATTGACGACTGCACTGGAAATACATGTCAGAATAATGCAACATGTGTGGATGGCATTGGCAATTTCACATGCAGATGTGTAGATGGATGGAGTGGTGATACCTGTTCGATTGGTAAGATATACTTTTTTACATGCTTAATGCAATTCAGATCACTATCACTTAAGTCTATCATTCGGTCTATCATTCGGTCTATTATTGATTTCAGAAAATTAAGTGCTACCTTGAAATGAATGTCATGACAGTAAAAGTATTCTAATTACTTCGTGTTAATTACTAATCAAATTGCCAATAAATTTACGTCCTTAAAAGTTATTTGTTTGCAATGTGTTATCCACAAATGTTCATTTAATTGTTAAATGATTTCATATTTGATGTTTTCATGCATAAAAGTTACGGAAAAGTAATTATGTGAGCATTTCTAAAACATGCCAGTATCACTGCCTGTTGATATCACCATCTGAATATGCCACATTTAAAAACTGCCCAGAATGATCAGTAATATGGAAATATAAACTCATTCCATATGTTGACTGTAGCCTCCTTTAGAAAAGATGTAACATTTCTGTCGATGTATCCAGGACGCAATCATAACAAAAAGACCTATTCACGTGTGTATTTTTATGTGCAGATACTAACGAGTGTGAAGGAGGGTCCTTCCGGTGCCATAGAACCCTGGGGGTCTGTATCAACACACCTGGCTCTTACAGTTGTCAGTGTATCGCTGGCTATGCTGGAGACGGCATCGAATGTTTTGGTAACATTTACAAAGCTACATTGCCCTCGTAAATATTACAGCCAGTACTGTAATTAAAGCAACCTTTTACATTTGCTTATCAATTGACTCTTATATTCTTTGGTTCTTTCGGTAAAGTCACGTAGATAGAAAAATTATAATAAAAAATGAAAGTTAATAAAAATAATAAAAGAAAAATTATAAAAACAAAAACGACTAATGTAGACTGTAGCCTAGTTTTTAATCGGAGTGAGTGTACTGGCAACCTATAATGTGGACTGTAGCCTGGTTATTAAGTTTGGTGAGCGTACTGGTAGTCTATAATGTAGACTGTAGCCTGGTTCTTAACCTTGGTGAGTGTACTGGCAGTATATAATGTAGACTGTAGCCTGGTTTAAAGCTGGTGAGCGTATTGGCAGTCTATACTGTCGACTGTAGAAATGGTTATTAAACTGAGTGAGCGTACTGACAGTCGATAATGTCAACTTATGCGCTAACTCAGGTTAAGAACCAGGCTACAGTCTGCATTAGTGTTTTTTTGTTATTATTTTTATTCACTTTATTTTTTTCTCTTATTTTTCTATCTACGTGACTTTACCGAAAGAACTAAAGAATATAAATTCCTGCAGTCACGAAAGTTTTAAGTCAAAATCAATTCTTAATTTATGCTTGGCACGTTAACTTTTTAATCCGTTTTTGAGAAAGGTGACTGAAATAATGCAATAGTATTTCAGTGAATGTATGTCACGTGTGATATGTATATAATTATAAATATATTGCATTCTCCCCCATTTTACAGAAAACAGACTATTTGATTATGGTCCAGAAGTGAATGACCGAGAGTTAAAAGTCAGGTTAACAGATTTCGTGTCTCCTTCTTTCACGCCTCCCTATGGGTTTCCATTTTCTTCAAAGTTCTACCAACAGTTGTATGTGAGTAAATGATGGTTATGTTCAAATTGTCAAATGTTGTGGTCTATTACCAAAGTATGTAAAACACCAAATTTAAAAAATGTCATGGTAATAATCATGTAATATGTTTAGAATACCCATAGCCGTCATTCATATATACAAGCTCACTTATAAATTATTCATCACACTGCCATTGTTTACAGTCTGCATGTAAATAGAAATTCACAAAAATAGATATGTATCCACTTTACGCTGTTGTGAAATGAAACATTGGCATAATAATGTATTTAAGCAGCTCTGAGCTTGTCGCTGAATGAAGAATGATAGCCATTAACATGCCCAACTATTTAAAAGTCAGTCACTTTCCATCCATTTCTCTGAAACCATCATGCACTTTTAAAACAGTTATTTTATCTATTAGTCATTATAGTATTAATATTTGTAATATTTTTTTCATATTGATGTATGCAAGTTTTTCACTCGTGTGAACCTATTTGTTACTTGATCTTTGTATTATTTATTTTCAACCACAGTTTTCAGACAATGGGTTGATTGTGTTCAAAGAAGGTGAAAATCCGACACGTTTCGCGTTTCCCAACCCCATCAAAAATGGATTTACGAGTTCATTTCCTGTCCCCATGGTTGCCGTTTTCTGGGATGATTCCGATTTTTCATCAGACAATGGGACGATGTATTTCCAGGTGCGTACATGATTTCTATGTACATATCAGCATAAAAAAAGGCTTTAAAATCCACTGCGCGGTAATGCAATGCATTATAGAGCATTCAGTAAAAAAACAATGAAAGAGGAGAACTTATGCAGCCATACATACACGAAATCTTGTGGGACATGTCTGACATTCTATACCCTATAAGTCCACGTGAAAAGAGGTACCAGAAAAATGTGTAATTACATAATAGTTGGGTGTTGGTGGGAAAAGGTATTTATAGAATTTTAACTTTGGAATCTTTTAATTAAGACAGACCCAGTGAATCATCCTTTCACACTCACTACAGAAGATATCTGGTAGTATGCTAAATTGGTTAGATATACGCAATGGCTTATTGTTGTTGACCTGATCAGTCTTATTATGATTTGTTTGTATCAATTATATGAAGTAAAGGATGCTATGTTTCTCCAAATGCTATAAACTAATTCATACATGTGAACCGGGTCACCCTTGCAAAAGATGCAATGTCTCAATTGTTTTTTTTATCACCTGGTTAAATAAAGGATATTGACTTTATATATGATATTGACTTTTCAAGAATACTGACTTACGACATATCTCCAGTATTTTTTATCGACTATATCCCGTCGCTTACATTTCAGATTTGTTCAATTATGTTGAGAATGCTCATGTTGTTCAGACAACTCTTCTATTTTAAATGCATTATTTTGTTGTTGTTGAAAAGTCACATTTGAAATATTGTTTGTATCTGGTGATGTTATTTAAATACATATTACATGTATAAGTTGAACCAACAACACAGCTACTGATTCCAACTGCAACTGTGGTCTGTTGGCAGGAGTACGATTTTACAAAAACCAGCAACCCCCCGACCATGCATGCCCAGGACCTCCGTGAAAGAGTGAAGGCCCAGATTCGGGCCAACTTCAGCAGTAGCAGTCAACCAGACTTACAGAGCTATGATCCCACTTGGATGCTGAAGATCACCTGGAAGGAGGCCCCAGCTATACCTGCCAGGAATAACTTGGCAAATGTACGGCCTTTCTGTGATAACACATCTAACCTGTCCATTTTGCAAGTTTTCTTTTTTTTGAAGGATAGCACGGTTGGCTACATACGGCGTGAAATAAGTTTAACATACGTACATACATCAGATGCTCTTTTTCTCTCCGTGACATAAAATAACAATCCGCAATTAACCAGTTATCATCAAATAGAGCTCATGTCCTCAATTTCATTCCAATTTTGTTTAGAGTGATATAGAATATATATTTATTATATAATATAATTGACTATGATAGACTTTGTCCATTATTACATTCTGCATTACATTCAGGAGACCTTTTACCATCAGTGGTGTGAGCAAGACATTGCAAGGCTGCATAATTACCTTTTTACTTGCTTTTATTTCTATTTCAGACAAATACCTTCCAGGCTGTCCTGAATACAGATGGCGTCTTCTCATTTTGCCTAATAATGTTTAAAGATGGAGGCATGCTGTGGAGGCCAGAGACCAGAGACCCTAATACCAACAATGCGCTAATGGGATTTCACAGGTGAATGGATATGGCAGCATGAAGGCATTTATCACCTTTGATGCACTGATTTATATGATCTTTAAAGGTGCATTGACAATTTTTGATACTCCTATTGTTATGGAGTGACTCATGCAGCCAGCTATGGCTGAAAAGTTTGGTAGAACATGTTATGTATATCGTTTATTAGAAAATTTCAATCACAGTTCCTATGATCACTGTTACATTGCTTTTATAGCTTTATTTTGGTGATTTCGAAAACGTTTTGGTTTAGCCGTATTTTTTTTTTGCTGCTTGCGTTGTGGCCGAAACGTCGTGAGAATTGTATTTTATTATGTTTTATTTTTATTATTTTATTATTTCCCTTCTACGTGACTTTACCAAAAGAACCAAGAAGATTAGCCATATTTGTTTGTTGTAGTACAGAGTTAGACTGATAATTTTAATCTAAATTGTCTTATGGTTGTTATTGTTTGACTTGTATCCCACTGGGATTTTTGCACACAGCATTGATATACGGTGCTTTTTCTGGAAGACTTTGCAGTTTTTTCCTGAATTTTTCTGTTTGCGTGTAGTCACTTTAAGATGTTTCTTGTTCATGTTTTTGTTTGTTGCGGTTGCACCCGATTCAAGAGCCGAATGGCTCACAGGGCTATACCAAATAAATGAAACTGAAATATTTATAACACGAAGGTTATTTATATTGGCTTCATTAATGGCAAACATAAATTTTGTATAACGATATGTGCTGTTAAAAGTGACATTGCCTGTGACCAAATCATGGACCCGATCTCATTAGATCTTAAAAGTGGATTAATAGTTTTTCATTCATTCACACATTTCTGTTCTACCTATTCCACCGTTTTGTGTGCAGTGGAACCAAGGAGCTGTACTATAATCATCCACTTTCGAGGGGAAATATGTCGGTTCGTTATCGTCCAGACCAGGCTATTGGACTAGACACAGGTATGGAATTCGGTAACATTTGAACACCAAAGTTAATGATATGTACATTTTTTATTTTTTTGTATTCATATGAGATGTAAACATATTTTTGTTTACATCTCAATCTTACACTTAACGCTTTAATGTACAATGTGTATACTAGGAGTTGGAAATATTCAGCCTCCTATTAATTGCTG